ATTTCAACTCTTAGGTTCTACCTACATTGAACCTAAATCATCTCAAGTCCTAACTACATTGGACTTAAAACCATTTCAACCCTTAGGTCCTACCTACATTGAACCTAAAACATCTTAAATCCTAATTACATTGGACTTAAACCATTTCCAATATTTAGGTTCTACCTGTATTGAACTTAGAACTTCTTAAGTCCTATCCACATTGGACTTAAAACTCTAGGTTCTACCTACATTGAACCTGCATCATCTTCAGTTTCATCGACATTAAACCAAAATCTTAGGTTTTAATTAAACTCTCTCAGGTCTAATTGGCTTATGACTTCAAGGTAAAAAATGGTGTTGATTCTATATCATAAAAATCTAACTCACTGACATAAATGACATTAAAACACAACTTAAACATCTGTGTTCAGATTTATGAAGATTTCTTGACCAACGCAATCTATGGTTGCTGACAAGAATCTTCTGGTCCTAGTTTAAACACCTTTCGGACTAAGTAAATCTGAATACTTCACGGCCTAGGGACGAAAGAGCCATAGACATCTTGACCGGGTCGTTTAAAAATTATTCAACCAATTAAATGACCAACTAAAATTGATAAATCTGACAACATGGTTTTATGCTAATCATATTCTCTTTTGCAGGTTTATTGAAGACATGAAAATAAAATTTCGCTCTAGATTTCCTTTGCATGTTATAGGGTGTGCTAACTCTGTTTTGCAGGACGACATTCGAAAGCAAAATTTCAAGATAACAAAACTAGACAAAAACAGATAAAACAAAAATAAAATGACATAACATGACAAAAAAAAAATGACATGACATGAACAAAACAAAACCTTGAGGGTATAATCAGATACCTAGGAATCTATTACCCCAGGAATAAAACATTTGATGTTTCTTTCCTTAATCTTGATATTTTAGAAGAACGAGTGTTAACGAGAATCAGGAGTTTTCTTAGGTAAATCTAGAATTGCCTAAGATGTAATTAACTATAAGAGCTTGCTCTTATAGGAAAATTAAGAATTCAAAATAGGTGATCAACCTAAATCTCTGGTTATCATACCATTTATGTGGTTATCCTTATATGAGATTTTGATATTCTAGAGTCTTCTCTATAAGTTTAGCACCCAACATTTCTCTTGTTTTCTATCATTTGCCCTTTCCCTTTTTCCTAATTCCTTTAATACTTGAGGATCTCTTACTTGATCCAAAAGATTAAGGTAAATTGGAAAAATAGGGCAATAAGATAGATAAACAGAGTGGCGACTCCAACATTCTTATCGACAAAAGACACGACGACATGAGAGAACGAACGAGAATTGGCGGCGACCGCAGACGGCGAGTTCCTGTCGGCGAAAAAGAACTAATCATGAAATTGATTAATAAAATAAGCCAATCACGATTCCAATTGTTAAATAATCAATTTGAATATAGAGATCATGATATGATTATAGAACTAAACTATTAACTCACCTAGATGAATTAAATATATTCTTAAATATATATGAAGGGCCATGATGTCAAAAATATATACTATGTTTGTTACTTGGATAAATATAAATTAAATTAATTCTTAAAACACAACATACTAAGATCAAAAGCTATATGATAAATTTGAATGAAGTTTTCTAAGCTAGGAATTTCCTAGTGTGCCCTTAATTAGCTTGATGAAGGTTTTTTATTCTATCTGATACAAACAAAGAACTCATTTGGTCAAATCAAGTTGCATGAAAATGATCAAATTAGATGTGTTTTATTTGGCCGTAGCAATCACTAGGCTAAAAGAAATTACATCATGGCAACATGAAACAAGTATATGAAAAACTAATGGCTAATTTTCTTGTGACTTTCAGATAACATGTCATTTATAAAATGCAATTTATTTAATGAAGATAGCGTATGAGTAGATACAAGATTAGAATTATTCCCAATTTTTTTTCCTTGATTCAAGCGATGTGCATGGGAGTTTTTTTATTATTGAAGATAGAAAATTTTTCCTGAGATCTTCAGCCTCTTTTTACAAATATTTTACTTATTTATTTATTTTTTGTTAATGATATTTATCTACTAAACAACTGAATGCAAAAAATAATTCTTGATAATTAAATTCATTTACCTCAACTTTCTTGGACTCTAATGGCAATTTAGTAATGGAGGTTCTTTGTTTTCTCTTCATTTTTTTGTACAAAAATTATAGAGCATTTGTGTAGCTCCTTCTCTTTCTCTGTAGCTTTTTTTTTCTTTTTTGCTTCTATTCTTTTTAGTTCTTTGGTGCATCAGAATCTCTTAGCTTTTTGGTTTGGTATGTTCTTAATTTGAATTTTTTCTTTAAAATCTTCTTACCGTGTATTAGAAGTCTTCCAAATGTGATGAGGAGATAATGAAGTCAGCCGCCACAGAGAAATCTTGCTTAAAGATATTGTATTAAACACAAAATGTTTAAATTACCTGAAAAGCATCATCAATATATAAGAGAATTTTACATGTGATGAAATATCCATAAAAAAAAGCAATCTAATGAATGTGATTTAAGTGCAATAAAAAGAAATAAATCAAGGATTTTTCTTGGAAGACAAGCCTTATATGAAGAGGCTTCTTTGAATAAAGCAACACTTGGTTACATATTTATTATATGATTAATCCTAATAGAATAAGCGCTGATATACCTAAATTTGTTAGATTTAATTAAGACCGGTGATGCTATGTCAAATGATTGTATTTTATATTTATTCTTCTGGGGTACGAAGAATTTTTTCCCAAAAATTTAGGAGTCAGTGTCCATGTCAATGTTGATGGTGGAATAGGCTCATGAATTGTTCTTAGTAGGTCTCGGAGTGGATGGACATTGTAGTTTGATGACCGTTGGAAGTGGTTGATAGCCATTAAGTAGGACTGATGGTGTTGTTAGCATCTGAGCAAGTGGTGGAGCATTTGTAGGATTAAAATTACACATTAAAATATCTCATGAGTTAGTTTAATAAAACTAGCAAGGCATGATTGCGGCAATTATTGTAGTTTGAAGTTACCTATAAGCGTGAAGAAGCATGCAATTATATTAGAAATCGGAGAACATCAAGTATTAGTATTTAAACTTCTGGTGAAGAATTTAGATGCCTTCACCAACTATGATATTATGTATGATCTCTTGTATAAGTTTAATGGTAGCAATATTGTAAAAACCAAGCAAACTTGTGATACTAAGAAGCCATGAACAATTTTTATTCCATTTGTATTGGTTCGGATGCAATAATAATGCTTGAAGTCTTTGTGGTTAAAGATGGAGCACTTATCATTAATATTGAAGCTTTTGCTCAACATTATCCTTTGGCACACAATCATGTTTAAAAAAAAATAACTTAAGGAACCAAATCAAACTTAACATCAAACACAGTCATCACACTCAGGTTTAGGCTCAAGTTTAGTGATGTGCATTCACTCCTATCATTACGAGAGCGAGAGATCCTGCTCAGAACAATCTAGTCTAGTCCTATTTTCTTGCCAATTTAGGGAATTATTATTTTCTTGAGTTGGCCTGTCTATTATAGATATTAGTTATTTTATTTAAGTTATTATCCGGCTATCTTTATTTCTTGCATATAAATATTTTAGTAGTTACTAGTTTTGGGACTTATGTTTGGTGTATGGATTTCAGAGATTGTTTTTTCTGAATTTCTATCTTCCTCTTACAACTGATAAGCTTGTAGCTTGTTTTGGAATAGGTTTCCCACTGCTTTCCTCTTAGGCAATAGCTAGAACTAATTGTTCCCCTTTCAATCTTCATAAACTTCATGCATCTCTTCTTTTTTCTTTTTTTTAACATCTCTCTGCTACATCCAATCCTCAAACATCTTTTAAGAACCCAGTCATAAGGTTAGTAATTGTTGGCGAATGAGTTCACTCTTTATGCTAATAATGAGGGCTTGAGATTCATTACTTTATTTTTTGTTCAAGCATAAAATAAGGCTTTAGAACAAGGTAGCCAATGCATTGAGCGTTTTGATATTTATTATTATTACTGTGCTATCAAAGGTAATTGGCTTGGAGTATTGAAATATCTGTATGTCACTGATGAGAACTTTCAATAGAGTTGGATCTACTGTCAGGATAGATTGTATGAGCAGTATCACAGGGTCGATGGTTATTTGTTACTTTAGAAAAAGTTGTGCATTTCTAAGAGTTCGCTTAAGGTGTTTATTTTACATGAGTTTCAAAAATGAAGAAATAATAGATATTTTGGCAATAACAATATTCTTTTCTTAGTAAAAGAGAATTTTTGTTGACCTACATTGGTACGAGATATGGAGTGACATGTCAAGTAATACAAGATATATCATTTACTTAAGACCTGAGAGCAGTTTGCGAGACTATACTCCGTCAGCTAATCCAAAGCTAGCTCGGGTGAATGTGAACATGGAACTTTGCTGTAAGCTGTCCCAAACACACTAAAGTTAGGACTCAATTATGATAGTGGTCAACGGTTTCTTCAACAAAAGTACATTTCACATTTTGCCACAAGACAATGAATACTTCATAGATTGCAGACTTGTACTTCAGAGAAAGCGTGATATTCTCTTGATTGACTTTTATTTACACAATGAAAGTGGGACCAAGATGAACAAATATTGTAGGCATCATTTACTCGAGCCTGTTGCAAACATCCTCTATTGAAGACTTTACATGTGATAAAACGACAAATGAATTTGTCGTTGATGATTTCTAAATATTCCACAAAAAAGTAATATTCTATTAGTAGTGCTTTTAGAAGTCATAACAAGAATGATTTTGTTTTCATTTTGGTTTGCCAACAAAATCATTATAATTTTAGGCATTTGATTTTTCTTACCACACAATTCAGATTCCATTAAAATCAAAACAGCTAGAACTAGCAGCTTTAAAACATATTTTTCCCTGAACACTATTAATGTGTCCTTGTATGCATGTTGGTCATTTGGTCATCCCTCTAATTCTTTTATTTGGTTTATTGATGGTTTTGATAGATACTTGAGAAGCTTTACCACACAAAACACATCACTGTTGCTCATGAGAGGATGAAACTCGCATCAATTCATTTATCTTTAGGCAATAAGGCTGATGCTTTATGTAATATAATGAGAGTAGAGGGAATATTTTCACTTTACTATGGGTCTCATGTGCCCAAAATATTTCCATATTTTGAAGATTTTAAGAATGAGGTGGAGAAGATTGGACTTGTTGCTGTCAGATGAATAAGAGCTAAGTTGAATTAACAAAGGTGCCAAAAATTAATGCATCAGGACATCAGGTGTCCAATGAAAATTGGTTGTGTTACGATGGGTCCCACACTTTTAAAAAACTATCAATCAATGTATTTCAATGTGGTTCACATTTTGATGTGGTCAATTTTAATTGGACACCTGATACAATAATTTTTCGGGGCTAAGAGGATGTCTTATAACCCAGAATTGGGCATATCAAGCAGTATGTGTCGCAGAGGACCTGTTATGCGTGCAAAGATCATGTTGTTGTATGATTTCCCAATGACGGTGTTTATTAAATTGACGTTGGGAACGGCTTTTTTTCTATGTTATGTGCTAGTAGAAACTTTGTTAGTGTACATATTTTTCTCTGTAATTGGCATCTGTTTTATAAATTTTGAATTATTTTCTCATTATTATTATTATTATTTTTTTTTTTTGTTGGAAGCTGGAGCTGAGATTCAGATGTAAACTTTAATAAGTCTTATTATTGTTTGTTTGCATTAGGTCTAACTCAATGATTATGATACTTGAAAAGGGGTGAAATGAATATTTCAAAATTTAGTTAAGTTAATTATAAAATTTATTTTGAATAAACATAAATAATTTTTATTTAGATTTCACTACCCATGACATCATAGTAGTAATACAATCGAAAAATGAAAAAGAGCAGCCATATTGGGTTTGTATGTACTGGGCCAAACTCTTGAGTAACGGTTTCCTTTATGCCTGGCTAACACTTCACTATGACATCAAATTTTTAACTAGAATGTCGTATTTGCTTCTTTGAGCCAATCCCAATTCGCAATATAATAAAAACATTTAAGTTAATTGCTTATAAAATAAAGATAAAAAAGTTTATAATATAGACCAGTTTATTTTCTTATGGGAGAGAAAGCAGAGATGATATTCCTTGATTCTTTGGTATTTATGTCGCAGCCATCCTTGTTTAATATTAAGAAAATGGGCTGCCAGTGAAGTCCTGGACCAAGAGCTTTTTAAAGCAACAAATTTCTTAATCTAAGTCTAATGTTTCTATTGTTAAGCAAAGAAATAAACTATGGCAACAACCCAATGTCCATATATGTTAATTTAAGAAATAATAGTAAAGCAATTTATTCAATACAAATATATGTGAATAACTAACTATGGATGGGGAGTTTATAATAATAATGTTTCAAATGGCCTACAAGATTTTATGTCAAATTTTGAAATAATTTAAATCCCCTCAAGTAGAATAGTAATGTTTTGTGATATTTGAATTACAAATTTAATTTAAATCAACCTATAATATTGCAAGGAATTTCAAATAATAGGATGCAACTAAACAATGGTTAGAATCATGCAAAATTCAACGAAGATGGGGGATTTTGTCACAACCTAGCTCGATATAACCCGTCATATCGAGGTGGGTCATCTCGTGTTGAGGTCATAACATATAATTATTACTTGAGATCTATTTGGAAGAAAACTATCTAAAGTTTTCTTCAAGTTTCACACACGGAGTCACTAATATCATCAAGTTTTGTAAAATAAATATACCAAAAATTCATTTAGATCATATAGATTTACAACAAAAGGATTAAATACAATAATCATGGTTTTATCTCTCTATCATCAAACAAAGCTAAACATCATCCTGATTGTAAAAAATAAAGATCAAAGCTACTGATATACTTAAAATCAGGCTCTCGCAAGTAATGCAGAAGTTTCAACTCAACCTGAGTCTTACCCTCCCTAAAAATAAATACGTGTGAATAAAGCAGGGGTGAACAACCACGGCTCAGTATGCTACTCAAAATCTAATGTATTTTTTAATTTTAAGAAAATAAACATGTATTCGATGCAAATATATCCAGCATGAGGATTCAATACATCCTAAGTTGGGCTTTCTGGAGCCATCTATTGTTCGTTTTGAAAATCTTTTTCATCGTTGTTTCATACATGTTATTCTATATATTTACTATTTTTCTATAATTTTTGGAGTTCTATAATTCAAGATGTAAATAAATTCATATAAAGTTTATATTTATAAAATAAAGCAATTTAATTAATTCTTTAATTAACTCCATTTATATCCTTTCTATAAAAACTAAATTATTTTAAGTTTAAATATCTTAAAACACACACACAGAGAAGCTACCATATACGGTTTTTCATTTTTTCATCCAACTCGTAAGGCTTAGAGAGAGAAAGGGAGAGATTATAGAGAAAGAAAGTCTGCTTTGGGGGTCTTAAACCCTATTTCGTCTGTCAAACCGGTTGGGGAAATTACTGGCACTAGGTAGACTACTGTTAACCTACTTCAGATTTCATTTTCGTTGCTTTCTCGTTAAGTTTTGGTATTTTCCTTGCCAAAGTTTCGTACAATCTTAAATCTGTAGAGATTTACAAATTTTTCACTGTATAACTTTTTATATATTGTAGATTAGATTGTATTGGACATATGGATATAAAAATATTTATTTTTCATTGGGTATTTTGTGTTGTACAATATTTTGTATATTATGGCATGTGCGTTAAACCTGATAGAAGCGCTTTAAATATTATTTTGATATTTCATATACGGTTTTTCAAATTTTATTTTTCAATATGTAGATTTGTTTCCCTCACAAATTACATTATTACTTGTGTCTAATGTTATGTACTACTATTTATTGCATGTTATGAAATTTGATATGTCAAAAGTTTTATAATTTATGTGCTTTTATATCAAAATATATCTTAAGAATGATAAAAATTGGGGGAGCTACAAGTGATTGTGATTTAGCGGTTGTATGTTATGTGCAATCAAGTGGAGTTATAAAGGGTTTTGCACCTATGTAATTATTCATATATGCATTTGATACACCTGAACAGATGTGAACAAGTTGAGTTATAAGTGGAAGTGGAGTGTCGACACTAAAAAGGAGGTTGGTCGTGAAGTTGTCGGTTATTAGGATGGATATCCCAACACCCGTTTTAATTTAATTTAATATATAATTTGGAAAAATAGCATTTTGGATTTTTGAAAATGCATGACCAGACTGATCTCATTTTCCCAGTTGTTTAAATATACGAGCCTAATACCGCAAATAATATATCTATCTCGAAGGATAAACACACTACTTACTGGTAAGACTCGATTAAATAGACTAATGATTGTATGACATCCGTTAAGTCTGCAAAACCATTTTTTATTATAAGCCGACAAATTCTCCTATTTAATATAAATGATTAAATAGAGTTTATATTAAACTTGGTTCGGAAATGTTTCTTATAAGGGCAAGCCCCTATAGTTAATTACATTTTAGATAACCGAAGTCACCTAAGAAAACTAGATAAAAATCAGGGGACATTATCTTCAAGGAGTTCAAAGGATTATGACTTTTCAATGAGATCGGACAAAGAGGTGTGAAAGGGGAATAACTCAAATTTGGAACATTTATTTTGGAATCCAAAAGGAGAGAGGCTAGGGGATGTCATAGATACGGAGGAGAACATCAGTGACTTCCCAAAAGTATCCTACTGTTTGGCTTCAGTTTTGGAGATTAAAATTATTGAATAATTCATCCTGTCAATTTTATTAATTAAGGCTTACATTCGTGTAAAACGATCACACAAATATCCTGTAATATGTGAGGATTTAGGTTGTGACAAACGACAACCTCAGAATCCTAAGGCGAGTTAGGGCTTATATTGTATAGCGGAACCATACAAAGGCCTAAAGATTAGTTGAGGATTTATGTCGCGTAAGCAAACAACCTCAAAATCATATGGATTGTTGTTTAATTCTAAGGAATGGTTTAGCTAGTGTAGACATATTTTGCTGTTGAAGGTGGTCGTGTTGCCCACAATGCTAGCTCCAAGTTCCTCGTCGTGGCGAATTTAAGTTTTATAATATGTCAAGTTCTGATTTCAAATCCAATATTTCCTATGGGCCATGGTTATTTAAATATTATGCGGCATATTAAAGTTGATTAGAGCGACACCGGTTAGGATCCTATGGTTCCCTCGTTTCGGTACCACTATTTTCTTTCAGATTCACTTAGTCAAAATAAATTTACTAAACTCAACTCAATGAGTTTCATACTTTCATTAGCAATCATAGGTTACCTCCTTCGAGGGATTCCGGATCATCTGATAGAGAAGTTTTAATTTAGTTGCAATTTTGATTTTGTGATGTTTGTGATTAAATTTTGAATGTTATGGAGGCGAATTTTATCTTGTTTGATTTTTAAACTTTTATTTTGGTTTCGGTTTTGAGGTTATCTTAAAAGTTTCAGTTTTGACATACAGGGTGGCATCGTTGTTTAAAATTTAAGTTCATGAGCAGAAAAAGCACAGTAAAGAAAGTGTAGAAAAAGGTGTTGTAAACTATAAAAGCGTACCTGTAAAGTCTTCTCGTTCCTCCACCTGAAAGTTAAAGTTCAGGACTTGTAAGACACACACACACACACACACACATATAGATATATATATATGGTAAAAGAAGCATTATTCGGCTCCTTACATGTTGATCAGTAAAACAGTACAAAGATACTAAGTTAGAAATATCCTGTCTATAAACCAAAATACAATGTGGCTCACATCTAAAGGGGGGACCCATCCACAAACAGATTCACCTTAGAGCAGAAAATGAAAATATATATATATATATATAAAGTAGCAAATACTAAATAAACTAGAAAACAGAAAGTGATATGGTAAAAGAGGAATAAGGTCTCCTTGGAGAGGGAACAGTGAGTCCATTAAACTTGTCAACATTAATTCTTAAATGTGGGGCCTCAATAGTATCACCATGAAGTAAGAGAGCTAATGGAGTTGGGGGCTTAGTAGTAACAGATAGAGAATTGGAGTGAAGACATTGTATGGCAAGCCAATTGACAGGTTTATTTCCCTCCCTATAAATAAAGGTAATATGGAAGCTGAGGATGTTTTTGAAGTTCCTGATTTTCTGTTTCCAATGAGTGTGGTAGTAGGATGATTGTTCTTCAAATTCCATAATTTTGATGAGCAATGTAGAGTCCACCTCAAGCTAGATGTTGTATCATTCAACTTTACAAGAAAAAGTTAAGGCCCAGAAAACTGCTATAAGTTCTGCCTCAAGTGCATCTCTGCCATCAGTGGGAGCTTGGAAAAACAGGAGGCACTTGTTGGAAGAGTCCCTAAAAACACCCCCACCCCAGCACCCCAAACATTAAAGTTGTCATCAGTGTTGAGCTTAATAGTGGACTGTTGAGGAGGTCCAATAGACCTTATCAATCTTATATGGCTCTCTAACTTCAGTGATATTAATCTTGGAGATATTAGGGAAGTTCTTATGTTGAATCAGTTTGGTTAGTAAGAGATACAATTTCTGATCACCTTTGAGTTCTGGATATCTTTACCCTCAT